TTCCTAATCTATTTTCTTTCTGTGAAAATTATATCTTCTTTTCTTGTTCAATTTTCCTTTACTCTAACTTTTATTTATCTCTATATTTATTTATTTTATCTAAAAATTATATTTTGAATCTTGTTTTTATCTCTAAATTTTTTCCACTATAATTTTTCCCTTTCTCTCTAATTTTTTTCGTTAACATATATTTTCCTCTCGACTTTACTTTTTTTTTCTCTTTTTGTTTTTAACTTTTCTTTAACTAATTTTTTTCTAATTTTTTTATTTATTTCTCTAAAATTTATTTACATCTCTCTAAACTTGTATTTTCATGTCTCTACATTAAGGATGACAAAAATTTTCACAGAGTCAAGCCTCAAAATAGGAAATGCATGTCCCAATCCCGTCCCCGATTCTATTTTTTAAATTATTAATATATATTTATTACACTTTTTTATTTTTTAAATTCCAAAAACAATTATAAATCCGATAATTTTTCTCAAGAACATCTCTCGGACCGAAGAACGAGGTAGAGATGAGGATTAAAAATTTTCACAAGCACAAGAATGGGGAGAGCATCCTCACTCGCACTCACGCTATTGTCATCTCTACTTTACATGGTTTGATTTTTTGTTTTTTAGAAACAAAAAAAATGATTATCAAACCTATTTGATTTCATGTTTTTTTAAAAATAAAAAATAAATGATTTTTGTTTTTCAAAGACAGAAGACTAAAAATAAAAAACATAAATGACTATCAAAGTTCCAATCAATTATTACTTTTTTTTTTTTTAAGTTAAAAAGAGACCTGTGAAATTTTAGGCCATCGGAAATTGAAAGGACAATTATTTAAAAACAAAGTCTCCCCCACACATTAATTATTTAACAATCAAACTGGTCCGACATGGCAATGTTTGAGGACACTTGTTTCGAGGATTCTTTCCTAATCGGAGTACCTGCATCTTTCTTTATTGGCTGTGGTTTTGTTTCTATGCGTAATATTTAGTTTAAATACTATCTTAATTTCAGTAATTTCACAAAAACTTTCGTTCCAATGAGTGTACTTTTAAATTTTTGTTCATTTTATTACTTGTAGTTTTAAAATGTCAATTTTAGTATATGTAATTTTAGACGGTGATCAACCTAGTCCTTATTCGTAAATTCTTAACAAAAACTTTATATACAACGGAAAGCTTTTAATGCAAAGTTATGGCTATGTTTCAAGAAATTTAGTGGGTGGAGATGTCGTGCTAAGATTGTGAAGGAAAGAAATGAGATCAAAATGAGAATGAATGGATTAAAATGGATTTTGACAGTACAGAGATTAAAATGAACGAAATTTGAAATTACATTAACAAATAAACCAAAGTAAAAAATATAGTGACCAAAATATTATTTAACCATAATTTTTAGGGTAAATTACATTTTTTGACCCTGAAGTTTTGAGTAATTGTCTATTTAGTTCCAAAATTTTTAAAAGAACATGTTTGGTTTTTGAGGTTTGTAAAATGGTTCTAAATGGTTCCTAAGATATATTGACCGTTAGTTGACTAACGTTAAGAGATGTGGTGTTTAAGTTGACTGTTTGTTGCTGGTTTAGCAAAATATATTAATTTAATACTATTTTTATGGTGATAGGACTTTCCATCTTCTTCCCTATTCTCTTTCTTCTCTCCTTCTCCAACGAACCTCACCGCTACTGCCATCCTTCTTGTTTTTCATTTCGATTCTCGTTTAGATGCAACGAAGAACATTGGTTTCTCGTTCAGATTTCTACAGGGAATAGTGTTCCTTTTCCAAATCTGACAAGAAATTAAGTCGTTCCTCTCATCCATATCAAAGAGGAAGTGTTCGTGTTCCTCTTCCAAATTGAAGAAGGAAGCATTCCTCTTCTAGATCTAGACGAGGAACACTTCCTCGTTCCAAAGTGAAGAGGGACCATATTTGGGGAGAGGTTTCGACAACAATGATTGACGAAGAGGGACAGCAATGTTGAGATTCACTTGAGAAGAGAAAGGAGAAGAATGAGAGAAGGAGGATAATAGGGAAGAAGATGAAAATTTCAATCATCGTAATAAAAATAGATATTAAATTAATATATTTTGTCAAACCAATGATATATCAGCACTCATATTTATGTTAGTCAACTAAGCATACTAAGGATATTATTAATAACTATATTCAAAAACGAAAAAGTGTCAATTTTAAAACTTCGACCGTATAAACACCCACTATAAATTTTAGAGATCAAAAGTGTATTTTGTCTAAATTTTTAATATAGATAGATCCCACTTTTTTTTTTTTGAGCCCACATCATTAATGATATGATCCTAACATGGTTAAATGGCAGGAGTATCCCAAGTAAAAAAAAATTAATT